GCTTCCTCCAACAGGAAGGAAAGAATGTTACCTGTAATTAGGGAATGGATTTGAGTGGTCATAATCAGTGCTAATTTAGTTTATCATTACTATAATGAGAGGTTGCATCGAACGAGTATAACGTTTACTCGCTACATCATTGATGATGTGACGACTTATACTGAATTTTGTAACTAGATCATCAAGATTATAAATTGCTTAGCTAAATGAATTGTGGGAGTCAGTCCCTGAGCTCATTATTTGCCTCTGTAACCCTTTCCACTACCGTCCACAAGATGGGTATGGAGTGCATAATAAATGAACTAAACTAATTCTGGCAGCGATATAAAAAGTTGTAATTTAAAACTCTAAATAGGTGCAATCACCATGAATTCCGCTGAAAAATAACGTCCATGAGTCATATTTGCGATATTTCAGATATTCTGAAAACTGTAGAAAAAAAACTTTAAAATCCGAATATATTTTCTCTCTAATAAGGTATAATTTCTGTGATAGATTCACAAAAAACTATCATATCTACATTTAAAACTGTATATGGAGTCAGCCTCCATCACATCACTGCCTAATGCATTCCAACTGTTAACTACTCTGACACTGAAAAAGTTCTTAACTTTGTGTGTGTGTGTGTATACTCACCTATTTGTGCTTGCGGGGGGTTGAGCTCTGGCTCTTTGGTCCCGCCTCTCAAGTGTCAATGAACTGGTGTACAGGTTCCTGAGCCTACTTGGCTCTTATCATATCTACACTTGAAACTGTGTATGGGTCTGCCTCCAGCACATCACTTCCTACTGCATTCCATTTGTCAACCACTCTGACACTTAAAAAATTCTTTCTAATATCTCTGTGGCTCATTTGGGCACTCAGATTCCACCTGTGTTCCCTAGTGCGTGTGCTCCTTGTGTTAAATAGCCTGTCTTTATCTTTATCATGTCCCCCCCCCCCCTAATTTTTCTGTCTTCCAGCGACGTGAGGTTTAATTCCCGTAGTCTCTCCTCGTAGCTCATACCTCTCAGCCCGGATACTAGTCTGGTGGCAAACCTTTGAACCTTTTCCAGTTTAGTCTTATGCTTGACTAGATATGGACTCCATGCTGGGGCTGCATACTCCAGGATTGGTCTAACATAGGTGGTATACAATGTAATTACAAGATGAGAGCTACTCTCGTTGTGTCCCATCTATCCAGCACTCTCTGTCATATAACGCTTTGAAATTACTGAGGGTTTTGGCCTCCACCACCTTCTCACCTAACTTGTCCCAACCGTCTATCGCTCTGTTTGCAAAAGTTAATTTTCTTATATTTCTTCATGTGTGTGTGTCATAGATTTGTACCTGTAGGATTGAGTTATAGCTCTTGGAAACCGGCCTTTTCAGCCACCGGTTGTCTAAAAGTGACTCCTGAGTGATTTCTCTACTTTAGAAACTGAATGGAGTTAACTTCTACAATCTGCTCATTTCGTTCATTCTATTTTCCTACTCGTATGATAAACGAAAGCTTACAAACATCTCTATAGATCATCTGTTATTCAAGCTTCCACCCATGACCTCTTGTTCTATTGTAATAATTGTGATCACTTTTTTTTATCCTCAAAGTAGGGGTGGATCTACCATTATCTACACTCTCATCTATCCTTATTTCAACTATGGTATTTGTGCTTGGGGTTCTACCACCCAAAATCATTTACGTTCTCTAATTACCCAACACAAAGCTTCTATTAGAACAGTATCTAACTCTGGCCCCAGACAGCACTTGGTACCCTTACTTAAATCTCTGAATATGTTAGATATTAAGTCACTGCACATCCTCTCATGTGTACTCTATATATTTAAAACTCTGAATTGTAATGTCAATCCTGACTTTAAAAGCTTCTTAGAAGGCACCATGGGCACCACACCAGAAACAAATACCTATTTGATATTCCAAGAGTATGACTTAATCAAACTAGAAATGCTCTACAAATCAAGGGACCCAGAATGTGGAATGACTTTCCCAATCATGTCAAAGGCTGTACCTCTCTCAACCAGTTTAAGATGAAAACTAAGTACTACCTAATTAACTCCATGTAACCTACCTTACCCCTAAATGTCAACCCATGTCTTACTATTTTTAAACAATGCTGTTTGTTGACCAACTTGTATACAGTATTGGCTATTTTCTACCATGTTCCCCCCTTTTTTACCTTTTATTTTTTCTTTCAACGCAATTTATACTTTAAGCTCAATTACTATTAAGTTTTAGTCTGAGTGTTTTTTTCCCCACCTCACCTTGCCCGAAACGTTATGCGTACTAGTGGCTTTAGGTATTGTATGTACTAGCTCTATCTATAAATCAAAATTATGTTTGATTTGATTGTATTTGATTTGAAGAAACAAATTTAGCTTAAGTTTCAGGCCCCCTAATCCAGGAGGGGCCACAGAAGCGACGTTTGTCCACATTGTTTAAAAACATTTGGTCTGTATATCAGATTTAGAAAAAAATCTGAGATGTAGTGATTATATTTATAAAATTTTAGTTGTGATCAGTTGTGGAATATCCTTATTGAAGAAGACAACAGTGGTTACTCACACCTTGTTGCTGATTGCAAAAGGGCTCCCATAACAATTCAAGCATCAGGGCCCCACAATTTGTAGATTCACCACTGCCCTTAAGTATTTTATATGACTATCATTTCTCCTCTTTTTCTAGCCAAGTTAGGTTCAGCTTATTTTAGTTAATTTATTATGCATCCCATACCCTTCCTGTTAGTAGTGGGAAATGTTAGAGATGCATAATTGACTCAGGAACTAAAGCCCAAATTCACTTTGTCTTCATATCTCATTCCTCGCAATTCTGGGACGAACCTCGTTGCAAATCTCGGTTCATCTTCAATATCCTAATGTGCATTATATCAGAGTTAAATAATGTTCTCAAAGGAGTCTAATAATGTAAGTAGAGTAAAAAAAGAATTTTGATTAGAAACCCGCTGAAGTTTTCTGTTGACTGTATCTATCAAATATGTTGTAAAGAGTTCAATTTGGCGTATACTGACCAGATGAATAATTCGTTTGTACAGGTGTTCAGGGCAACACACACACACATTATGTTCAAACTGGACAAGATTCTAATATCTTATTTTGCCATTTAAGTCAGTGGTCATTTGATTGGTTCAGTGCAAGAGTTTCATCTATGGTAACTGCTTTATCAGTGTAAACAGAATAGAATTGTACCTAATAAGATAAAAAGAGTAATACTGTAAATATTACTCGTGGGTTGTAAAAAATGGATCCATTTTTGGTTGCAAAAATTGCTTTAAAGGTATGTTAATAGTCCAATTTTAATTTATTTTAGTTGTACCTCCCATGAAGTGTGATTGCAACTACCAGATGGATTATAGTAGGAGCAATAATAACAGCTTTGATAAAGTTCTTTATTTATCTTCAGACATTTCAAAATATTATTCAGCAACTGAGCCAAATTATATACTACACAAGTACAACAAAGTTCAAATATGGATCATTGAATAAAACAATAACATTTCTAATTTACAATTCATACAAATTTTAAAAACTGATAGAACAAGCTAAAATAAATTAAATGATTTAAAAATATAAATGCTCTGAGTAACAATAAATTTGAAATGAAAAAACATAGTTGTCAAATTGTCTTGAGTTGTTCAACTGGAGCCTCATTTTATAGATATAAAGCAGTTATAAGATTTTCAGCCTGTGAAAAGTGGAGGTGAGCACATTACCTTTCACTGAGAGAGTGATGAGCAGAGTGACAGTGATTGCAGACAGCAGAATACTAAAGTTTTTAAAGGCAGTCCTGATGGTAAGATGTACCCATGTGTTTACAGAGGGGGGGGGGGTATTGTATTTGAAATTAAGTACAGTACTCTCCATGTATTGAGCATCACAAGAATTGGATTTTAAAGTAAGTATTGTATATACAAAAGGCCTGAGATCATATGACAAAGAATTCACAATTTTTAAAAAGTATTAATAGTAAGTTGATTTTATAAGGGAAACTGAAAATATATTTCCAAGTGTGACTTGCCTAGTATGCTTCTAAGCTCCATTCAGATGTGAAAACCTTAACAATCAAAACTCATCCAAAATGCTTGGGGCCAAATGCCTTTTAGAATTTGAATTTTTCCAGTATTTAGAATACTATTCTCCTCCCAATAGAACTTCTTATATTTCATGTAGAAAATGGGCCAGACATAAAGCTCCCCAAGAAATTTGACAGATGATCAGAAGGCTTGGAAGAAAGTTGAGAAGGCTTGCCAAGAAATATAACAGGGAGACAAACGTCTCACGAACAAGTTAAGGTACAGCACTGTAAACAAAAGAAGCAGAAGCAGTATGTGTATGTATATATATATACATATATATATATACATATATATATATATGTCGTACCTAGTAGCCAGAACGCACTTCTTGGCCTACTATGCAAGGCCCGATTTGCCTAATAAGCCAAGTTTTCCTGAATTAATTTTCCTATATATATATATATATATATATATATATATATATATATATATATATATATATATATATATATATATATATATATATATATATATATATATGTCGTACCTAGTAGCCAGAACGCACTTCTCAGTCTACTATGCAAGGCCCGATTTGCCTAATAAGCCAAGTTTTCATGAACTAATGCTTTTTCGACTATCTAACCTACCTAACCTAACCTAACCTAACATTTTTGGCTACCTAACCTAACCTAACCTATAAAGATAGGTTAGGTTAGGTTAGGTAGGGTTGGTTAGGTTCGGTCATATATCTACGTTAATTTTAACTGCAATAAAAAAAAATTGACCTCATACATAATGAAATGGGTAGCTTTATCATTTCATAAGAAAAAAATTAGAGAAAATATATTAATTCAGGAAAACTTGGCTTATTAGGCAAATCGGGCCATGCATAGTAGGCTGAGAAGTGCGTTCTGGCTACTAGGTACGACATATATATATATATATTTATTTATTTATTTATTTATTTATTTATTTATTTATTCATATGAAACAAAAAAATTTCAATACATTTTTTTATGAAAATATGACTTTTGCTTACCAAAAACTTCTTGTGTATGTTCCTTTATTATTTGTAATGCAAGTAAGGGAGATAAGGTGAAAGGGAAAAAGACAGAGGAAAGGTATGGAGAAGGGAAGGAGAGAGGGGTTGGGAGGGGGAATAGTAGAGTAGATATGGAGAGGCTAGTTAGCTCATTCAGTACAGGTCAACACTGCTCTATAGGGTACTGAACCGATCTAATAATGTTTATGACTGAATGTTACCATAGGTTCTGTATTACTGTTTCTGATACTTTGTATTTACAGTACAAATAAGAGAGGGGAAAAATGATGGGAAAGCAAACACATCACATTCATTATTCATAACAGCATTAAACAGTGATGTCCGAGTAGAAAATGTTGAGGTAGACCATGAATTTTTGCTTACATCTTGAAATTAGCATTACAGTGACACTTTTCCTTTCACTTGAACCATTACCTACACAAAGCAAGGATTGAGCTGATCCTGACAATGAAGGTACTGTACCACAGAAAAGTATGTAACTGAATACTGTACCTTATTTTGAAGAGTTTTAAGATCTTCAGAATCGTGATTGTGTAAGCAGAGTGACCGTAAATGCTTAAAGAATGCTGGCCACAGCTTCACCATTTTGGTACACAGGTAATTTTTTTAAATACTGTGAACTACAAAAATTTTACTTTGTGGAAATTCACCGAAATGATCACAGGTCGTTGGACAATTTTGGTATATAGGAGGATTTATGTACAGAATATTTATATGAATTATAAATATTCTAATATTATAATAAATATTATTATAATATGGATTCAACATTGGTGAAACTATATAATTTAAGAAATTTCTTAGACCTCTATAAAGTATTTAACTAGAATATGTATTTTGTAAAAAGAATTTGTGTAAATGCCTACTCTAATTGTCAAACAATAGATAGAACTGGTCTTATATGCCCTAATTACACAATACAGTATAACAATTTTCATTCCTGGGTAGTGTTATTTTTCAATTACTTATATCTCTAAAGCATAGAAAATGACTATTATTTCCCCTCAAGCATTGGTCTGACCTTTGCCTCAGACGGTTTAAAGAAGACGTCTTGAAGGTACTGTACGTGAAAGTAGGAGACTCCTTATCTAAAACTATGACACATCATTTCAAAAGTTGGCAGCCTTCAGGTACCTTCGAGAGGTCTTCCCTAAGCTGTCTGAGGCAAAGCCCAAAGCAAAGTTTGAAGGGGGAATAATAGCCATTTTCTATACTTTGGAGTTCAAAGCAATCAGAAGATAACACTTATTACTGTACCTGGAACAAACAATATAAAAATTTATTACAGTATTATCAAGGTTTTTAAACTGCTGTATTTATCTCAGAACTTAGGTAACTACTTAAATAAGGTAATACATATCCTATGAATATAGGAATATAACAGTGCAACTTCTATTGAACGGATTGTGTTGGAATGGAACCCCTGGAGAAGTAGAACTGGTTACTGGATAACCCTTGATACAGCGGAACAGGAAAACCTAGACCAATACACCTCGGTATATATTTGTTTAAGTTTTATAATTATCACACATCTAGTAGTATACTGTATATAAATACAAAAATGCATTTTCTTAGGTATGTGTTATTCTACTTGCACTCTTGCCACAAATTTTATAACATACATTGTATCTAAAAAATAATTGTGTACAGAAGCCAGACTGTAACTGGACATGTCGAGGCAATGTGCACCTTTCCGTCTGTTCAAGCATGTGACCTCATAATATATAAGGATTTTATCCATTATTCTTTGGATATTTTATTATTTGAGTAGAAAAGATATCTGCCAGCTGGTAATCAGACTTAATCAGATAAGAGGAAAGAAGAGGAATTTTAATATGGGGGTGAAAAAAAGGGGTAAACTGACTGAGAAATGTGACCAAGAATTGGGAGTGAGGCAGCTGACAGAAGAGTATGGTGTCAGAACTAGTAGGAACAGCCACACAGATTTGTTCCTCTGGGTATCTCGGAGACTATTGACAGTGAGCAGGCGCTGGGTGCAGAGCTGATGGACCATAACACGGCAGCAAGTTTGGCAGGATTCGAGGCAGATCGAAGCGCATATGACTGAGGATTCAAGACAAGCATTGTTTGAATTTGAAAGATTATTTTTTAATTATATACTAATGTTTTATATCAGCATAGTTATCAATGATTTCTTGGAGATATATGTAGAGTGGTTCAGTTGGCACTCATTACTGCAGTTGTTGTGAATAAGAAAGCAGATCTTCTCATGTTGAATGTTCTTATGCCAAATATACAAAATGGCTGACAGGTAAGGATCACTCCAGAAGGCGAACTGAACAATTATGTTTTTCGGATAAACATTGAGTAATTTATTTTTATATTGTTTTTATTATTCAATTCATTAATACTGTAACTGACATACTGTACAATGTAATGTAAAGTATATTTAAGTTGCTTTTAAAAGATTCTAAAAAATTGCAGATATTTCCTTGTGATATAAATTTGTACTACCTCCTGTTCTGTATTCCAAAATGGGTCCTGTAGCACAGTGGTCTGTGTCCTCAACTCACAAATGAGGGACTCCAGGTTCAATACCTGAACAGGACAGGAATAGCTGGGCATGTTTACCTTTACCTGATGCCTTTGTTCACCTAGCAGTAACTAGGTACCCAAGACTTATCCCACTGTTGTGGGTTCTACCCCTGGGAAAGGTCAGCTTAATTGGCCTTGCGGGAAAGTAAGGAACCTTGAATAGCTTAATTACAGGCTTCCTGTTCCTGACAATGGGAATTAAAATCTGGAAATCAGATGTATTGTACAGAAAACAAATTATAGACATTACTGAATTGATAGTACTGGCTGTACTCAATTATCTGAATTATATGGGGCCCAACCCCATTCGAATTAGCCAGACATTCGAGATAGCCAAATTTTTACCTGGAAAGTCCCAAAAAAGGCAAAAATTAGAATTCAGGTTTTCATTTGGCCCCACTACACCTCTGCTCTTATGCACACCTACTTCCATGTATGGTAGACTGAAATTGGATGATGATAATTATAAGAATTGAGACAATGTGATGGGATATAACTTGCATCTCTGTAATATAACTTGTGTCTGCAAAACTTGAGAATACTGTATATCTAAAGCTATCTCTTAGCAGTGAATGTCAAGAGCAGAGTTATTTTTACATCTTTCATAACAAACTCAGCTATTGACATGGTAATGAAACAAGCCAGTTTCTATCAATAACTAGGGAGGTGTGTACCATTGCCCGGGTCTCTCTCTCATCTATCTATATCCATGTATCTACTATCTATTCATGCTTCCATCTAACCATCTATATCCATCGATCCCTTTATTCATCTATCCTTCTATCAATCCATCTATGCATCCTTTTAGAATAAATCATGAAATTGCATGGGTAAACAGCTGGAGTAATTTCAAACTCTACTGAGATCACATGCCCAATTTCATTTCAGATATCATGAAAGTAGCTTGGGGGGGGGGTTAATGAGGGGTTACACTCTATATTTCTTAAAGCATTTAAATTAGGCCTACCTCAACCAACCTATGTCCATTTCGTAGTCCAGACCATTTCCCCACACAAATTTGAGTGAGGGTAGCCCCAAACATAGCCCCAAGCATCTGACCTTCATCTTTGCACAGACATTCTTATAGTATAGATGTAACTCACTAGCTGATTGAGTGCCCTCATGTTAGGGTACTTTTTGATGAATTTCCCTCAATCCCTAGGACCAAAGGTACTGGGGATTGAGGGGAGTTCTTATTAAGTGGTATTTTAACTTAAGCTTAAAAATGGTAGAGGAAAATATTAAGTTTTAATGTGAGTGAAGCAGTGTATGTGATGCAAAAATAAACTGTTGTGAAATGTGTGGAGAGCAGTTTCCACACAGACACAGCAAGGAAGCTGACAAGAGCAAGGAATTGGGAAGTGTTGTGGGCTTGCAACTAGAAAAGTTTAGCAGCCTAAACAGAGGAAGAGGATGATAATGCGTGGTGAACTGATGCCAACTGAGGCAGAAGCAGGAGAGAAAGCTGGCAGGTACAAGGCTTAAGTATCGAAGAGCTCCAAAAGCCTATATTAAAAAGCCCAGTCCACAAGGTAGCTACAGCCTAAGAGGCAACCATGTGAGACTACCACAATGGAGGCAACAGCAAATGCCACCAGAGTCTAAGAGTACTAAAGCTCATCCTGGGAAACAGCATCATCAGGTATAGAATCAGATTGGGAAGCCATAACCCAATCGATAACACACCTTGTTGCACACAGCAACAAGGTGAGTACAGCAAGGGGACACCAGACACAAATAGGCATCAATGCCCAGTGCAGAGGAAGCATCTAGATGAAGCAAACATTGTAGCCCGAGATTGAACAAGGTCTTTAACACCCACAGATTACCTTTACCTTGAGGTTACCTTGAGGTGCTTCCGGGGCTTAGCGTCCCCGCGGCCCGGTCGTCGACCAGGCCTCCTGGTTGCTGGACTGGTCAACCAGGCTGTTAGAAACGGCTGCTCGCAGCCTGACGTATGAGTCACAGTCTGGTTGATCAGGTATCCTTTGGAGGTGCTTATCCAGTTCTCTCTTGAACACTGTGAGGGGTCGGCCAGTTATGCCCCTTATGTGTAGTGGAAGCGTGTTGAAGGAGCAGCAGCATGTTATGCACGTCTTTTATGTGCACATAATTAGGGGTGCCCAATTTCCTTTAAGCAATCACTTGTTTATTTTGCCTATGCTTTTTGGTGGATTTTTACGAAGTTTTGATCTCTAATGAAAGACATGCCTTGTCGAGTTAGCCAAGTGTCTTGTCCTGTCTCCCTGTAGGCTACAGAAGGGTCTCAGAGGCCTGGTACATTGTGCTGAGGCTTTGTAGATACCAAGTTAAGCTCAAGGAGCCACCAAGAGATTCCTCTAAGAAACCAAATAAAATATAACAAATTCAATTTGACAACAAATATTTTCTTACCATTTTTATTTGGAACTAAGCATTCACATTTTTATTTTGACTTTTTCTCTAGTGATAACTTTAATGTTTCAATGTGTTATTGAAGAATATTTTATGAGTTTCTACCATTTTTGTGGTTTTGTTCTTTTCATTTGTGCAATTACAGTTGTTGGGGGCACAGGTGGCTGAATTTACCCATGGGATACGGGTATGGTAAACAGTACTATATTACAATATATCATACGAAAGGTTAGACTTAAAGATAACTTTGCATAATTGTTTAGTTATTAAACTATAGTATTGTTATTAGAACCAATTTAAATAAATGTTATATAAACTTAATCTTGTTGTAACTACAGTAGTTACTAAAAAAGTTAACTTATTGTCTTATTAATATTTGCAGTACTAATTACATTTAACTCTTGCCTTAAAATGTTAGAGTATACTGTATGCGACATACAAAAAAGAGTACAAAAATAAATAGTATCTTACTTAATTTTAAATCACAAATGTAAATATTTGTTTATCAACAATTTTTTTTTTGTTCAAAAAGTACATTTATAAAACGTAAAATTTGTAAAACATTTAAAAATGGGAATATTTTTTACTATGATCCCTTGATCAAATAATTATATTATATTCCCACTCAATATTTTTGGTCAGTCAATACTTGTTGCAACATTATGGTGTATTGATCTTAAATGGAGAGAAAATGTAAAACCTGAAGTCCGGTTATCCTTATACTGTACGTTGATCCTGGGGTAGTGCAGTTATCATCATATTGATGATAACCGCACTACTGATGATGATTTAGGCATTGTATGTACTAGCTCTATAAATTCAGCAATATTTGTATCACCCCTTGTATGTATGTACTTTACCTGAATAAACATTTTGAATTTGAATATGTTGATTTTAATTTTATACTCGGTTTTTATACACTTATAAATGTGGTTATAATACATCTAATGTGGATATAATGAAGTTAAACCTACACTCACAAACAAATTCTACTATTTTTTTTAATTGCTTGCTCTCTATGAGATTTTTATCCCACAAGCCATGCAATTACCGCCAAATCACAATTTGATGCTTGAATCTATTTTTGGACAGACATACCAGAAAGAATCATAGCAAAGGTTGCAAGACACTTCTGTTGAGCTGTGCCAGGAACAGGATTTATGTGCAATATAGATGTACGTATTACATTGTAATCACAGCTCTCTTCCTTACTTGGTGAGTCGGCAACATTGCACGACAACAGTCCATGGATGAAATGAACCCTTCCCTCACTTGACATCATTTTGATGTGCACGAAACACAAAGACCTTAATATTTATTTTTATTTTGTATTTCCGATATTCTTTGCTTCCAAATAATATTTTACAGGAACATATTATTATTATTATTATTATTTTTGCACAGGCAGAGACTTGTGATCTTTGATCATAGCAGGACTTTAGGGGTAAAATTAAAAAAAAAAAATAGCAATTACCTTTGCCTTATATAGTTAAGAGATCTATGTAGCCCCCTCTATACAAAGAAACTCACCTCTCATGGTATACAGGTTTGGTCAAAAAGAATTTAAGCTGCAATCTATTTTGTATTTTGGTCCAGGTTGTATATAGGTTTTAAATAAAAATTGGCTAGTTATTATGAAGTTGTACACAGAGCTTGACTGGTCATTGTGAGGTTGTACAGAGCTTGGCTGGTCATTGCGAGGTTGTACAGAGTTTGGCTGGTCATTGTGAGGTTGTACAGGGCTTGGCTGGTCATTGTGAGGTTGTACAGAGCTTGGCTGGTCATTGTGAGGTTGTACAGGGCTTGGCTGGTCATTGTGAGGTTGTACAGAGCTTGGCTGGTCATTGTGAGGTTGTACAGGGCTTGGCTGGTCATTGTGAGGTTGTACAGAGCTTGGCTGGTCATTGTGAGGTTGTACAGAGTTTGGCTGGTCATTGTGAGGTTGTACAGAGCTTGGCTGGTCATTGTGAGGTTGTACACACAGCCTAGACTGTTGAGGCTGATCTTCCATTTTAGGCTCAACATTTCAAGTTTCCCAATGAGCTGCAGCAGGAACGAACTACTCAGGCTAATACATACTCAAATATTAAGAACACTTTTATACTGAAAAATAT